ATTCATTTCAAAGCAAACTTTGGATTAGATATATGAGATGCTCTGTTCAATTTGTGATATGGAGTTTAGAGTGTTAAGGTACATACCTTTAAATTGTTTTTCGGACGGTTATCTAATGCATTGCTGCTCTAATTGAAGTTCTTACGAGTGATGGGTTTGGAGGAGAAAGTAGCAAAGACATGCAACACCAAGGACAATGCTAGCCAAACTTGGACCTTGTGTACACATGCTTTTTATGATTTAACGCATGTCTCTCCCGTGGTATTTATGGTTTTGCTGAAAGAATATTATTATTACGGTATGATTTCTTTTCCTTCCAAAGCTAGTAATTGTTGTTTGAAACGAAATAATATGATGATGAATGTTAAGTGTTTGTTAAAATGGTTCGTTTAAACCTTTTTGGTAGTTTGTTTTTCTTTAAGTTAGCCTCGTGCCCAGACAGACTGGATATCAATGCTATTGTCAAGGTTTTAAATTACTTTTGTGGTGGTTGCTGGTTTTTTGCAATTTGCGTGTTGTGAAAAAATTGTAGGCAAATGCAGCTGTGGTTGCAATTGCAAATGTGGAAACCCCAAAGCAGAGTGCTATGAAACACATTTTTTTAATAGATTGTAATTTATTAAAAACTTTTAAATTAGGAGAAAATTAATTAAATATGATGTGGAACCTGTCAAATATCATTGATTTTTTGTAAATTTCAACCAATAAAAGAGAAACGAATGTGTTGTTAGCCTTTCTCAACCCCAAAAACCTTGACATTGTGTTGTAAATGGTTCACCTTTATCTATTTTCATGGTCAGCATGTTTGCCACCAACACTAATTTAACTTAAATAATAAATGCTAAATGACCATTGAATTTTGTGTAGGACTCAGTGTTGGTTTATCCTTCTTGCTATTCATTGTTGTTTCCTTTCAAATGCCATTGCATAGGTACATGTAAGGCAACTGCAAAATTCAGAGCCCTCCAAAATCAAATACATCTTGTTCTCCATAATGATCCAAAACCTGGACCAGCAACTTTTATTGTTCATTGCATGTATGTGTCTCCATTATTTGAAGATCATAGTCAAGGATTTACTCATATGATAGTATCTGCTCTTCGCCGATTCCTAAAAAGATCAACCACAATAGAAAACTCATTGGAGGTGAAAGACTTGGTAGCACATCTACTTGTAGATGTTATGAGGGGCCAGATCTATCATGATGAAAAGATAGTCATGAAGCTAGTCGAGATTTTTGATGTAAAACTAACTAATATTGAGAAAGCAATGTGCCAACTTAAGGAAAAACATGATTTAAGTTGTGGCTTAGCAAAAGAATTGGTTGAAGAGTATATTGTTACTTTGGTAAAATCCCAGTTGTACATGACAGCTGTAACTTTAATGGAGCAATTCTCTATCTACCATTATGGCCAGTCTTTTCTCCTTGATATGATACAGAGTAATCAATTCAAAGCGGCAGAGAAGTGGGCAACATTTATGGGGAAACCAATGTTATCCATACTTGTAAATGAGTTCAATGAGAGGAACATGCTAAAGAATGCATCTGAGATTATAAAGGAAAATAATCTAAAGCAGGAATTTCCAGACGTATACAAAAGGTCTAAGGAAAGGTAAATGATTTGTACTGGTTTACATGGGGATCATTTAGTGTTGTTTTGATTTGTACAGAGCATCAATCCAATTTTGCAACCCCTTAAGGTTTTTTAATTTTTATTTAACAAAATAACTTGTTAGTTTGCAGCTCACTAAAAAACTTAGCAGAAAAAGGATGTTGGGATGTTGCCGAGGCAAAAATAAACAATGATATGCACCTTATGGAATATTTGGTTAGTTTTTATTTGCTCTTTGATACCGACTGCCATTCTATATGTACATACCGATTTAGATAGATATATATTTCTAGAAACTGTGTAATAGCTAATGTTTAATTTTTAAACTATGTCCTTTACAGTCTTCTATTGATTAGTTTTGTCATTGTGTATTCATGCACTTGTGATTTTCTATTCCTTTGTTATGTTGATTGTGTTGCATACAGAAGACATTTAGACAATTTGTTTCTTTTTCTGCTTTAGTTGCATGCTGTTTTTTGCAGTCCTTGTTGGACGACCTTTAGGTGTATTTTTTACCGTTAAGTTTTATATCTTCTTATTTGGATTTATTCCTCATGAAAACTTGAGCAAACATTTTATTATTGTGTAATGGGCCATATAGGCCATGTGAGTTCTAAGTTTTTCAAAAATACGTAGAAGGATCTTGTATATTTCCTAAATTATATATTTGATGACCTATATTGTTTAAATATATTTTGCAAAGGTAAGATTATTTCTCAGTAGATCCGTGACCTTCTAAACCACTGCTAGCCTGTTGATATTTGAACTATGGAACCCACTAGTTAAGACAAGGGACTTTCAGATGGTGCACTCATATTTGTTTGTTACAAACTGATGGGCGGTTAAAGTAACATGACTAGGAGTCACCCAAGCATAATTTTAGCTTGATTATTAGGTATCATCTGACGCTTTGCTAGTAAAATTGGTTAGGGTGGATATACTAATTACAGGATGGCTGTGAAGTTGTCAAATTCAAAATAGGGAGGTCTCATGAGCCCATCATGTCCAATTTTGGCTGGGATTGTACAATCTGAAGTGTCTAGGATATCTTATTAATGCATCAGTTTCTCAATCGGAAATTGTGATAGTTTCATCTTTAAAATGGATACAGAAGACAGGCATAGAAACAAAACAGTAATACGCTGGTTCTGCATTGTATTGAAAAGATGTTATAAGTACTATAAGTCTTTTACTTAACCTTTTGGAAAAAATAGTATTCGTTGAGTGTTTTTGTTGGCAGTTTTAGCCTTATAGCCCCAGCATAATTTTCAAATATGTATAGTAGTATAATATTTTAAGTTTACTTTTTAAAGGTTTATTTGGCAATGGAAGCTGGTTACACAGAGAAAGTTGATGAACTATGTCATCGGTACTCCCTGGAGAGGTTTTTGGACACCCGAGGTAAGCCAAATTGATATGCGCAATGAAAATTAGTAAATGATGAAAAATATTGCATTCTAACTAATACAAAAATTCCGTAACTATTAAGAGAGTTGGTTGCTTATTCTTCTTCTGCTTCAAATAGTTCGGTTTTTAATATATTCAGTCATTTTAAAAAAAAAATCTTGTATCCCTGAAATCAGTTTTTTGTAGTCTTTGTTATCAATATCCTTACGTTGATGTTAATACCATTTTACTTCATTAACTATATTGTTATGTAAAGTGTCTATTTTCTTCTATATATTCTCAAATGATTTCAAAAAACTGTTTTATGTGCTCCAGTACCAGAAACAAGTAACCTGCAAGGGCGATATTTATGTCTTGACGAGTTATTGGTTGAAAACATCATTTGGGTTGATGAAGCGGAAATTTTGTTTGATGCAACAAGGCATATTGAGGGGTTTAACGTTGTAGGTCTTGATTGTGAATGGAAACCCAATTATGTAAAAGGTAGCAAACCAAACAAGGTAAACAATCTTCCTGCTTTGAATGCTTTTCCATCTATCTTTCTTTCTCTGTTTATTTAAATTCTTTGAAAATTAATATATCTGGGTTTTAGTCTTCAGAGCTGTGACATTTTCTAATCAGAAACCGAACTCTTCATTCTCCCCTTTCCTTTTCTTTTTGAATTTCCATGTTTCAGGTTTCTATCTTGCAAATTGCTTCTGAAAAGATGGTTTTTATCTTTGATCTGATAAAGTTACACAAAGAAATACCTGACATTTTAGATGATTGCCTATCTCGCATTTTGCTGTCACCTAGAATTCTAAAACTTGGTATGAAAATTCTAAACATTAGTCTTTGAATTATTAGCAAATAGTTTTGGTGGACAAGATTGATTCTTAACTTTGAATTATTACTTTAACCTGAGTGAGAGTGTTGCTGTTGTTGTGATTTGATATGTATTATATTATTTCAATTGTAAAGGAATATTCTCAAGACATTGGTTTTGTTTTGTAAATCTCAACTAGTAACCATTCATGCCCAACGGCTTGTATTTTTCAGGCTATAATTTCCAATGCGATGTAAGGCAACTTTCTCACTCGTATGGAGAATTGAGGTGTTTCAAGAACTATGAAATGTTACTGGATATCCAGAATATTTTTAAAGAACTCCGGGGTGGTTTGGCTGGGCTTACGGAGGTAGTGTGTGTGTATGAATGTCTCTTTTTGTGTCTCCTTTAAAGTAGTTCTGATATTTGTACTGTTAGCTTGTTTTGACGAAACTAGTGTTGTTAATGGTAAATCAGAAAATATTGGGAGCTAGTTTAAACAAGACAAGACGAAACAGCAATTGGGAGCAACGACCATTAACTCCAAATCAAGTAATTGCTTCCCTTTAATCATTGTATCCATTAATGTCTCCATATTCTTAAAACTTATCTGAAGATGCATTTGTGACATTGGCTTCGAATGTTTATGTATAATTCCTAGTATGCAATTCACCTACATGCACTGAACAAAATTTTATTGTTTTCCATAGTGCATTGAATGATTCAAATTACACTGTATATATGATTTATGATTTCTAAAGAAATTTAGAAGTGTAAGATAAGAATGAACGACTGCTATACATTTGAAGTCAGTCATTCAGCTATTGCTGTTCTACATGTGCAGTTGGAATATGCTGCTCTGGATGCTGTTGTTCTTGTTCACATATTCCGTCATCTTCCTGGTCATGGACATGATAAACCTGAGTGGAAGTCTTTCATCGTATGTTATCATACCTCTTTTCTGCCCATTTTCCTTTATTGCGAACTTTATTTTTGTTCTGTTCTCGCCTTTTCTTTGTCTTTAGTAGTTTCACAATTTTGATTTACTCAGCTAAAAACTTTTAGAACCACGCATAAGAAAAAAACCGCATGCATAATTATCGATTTATACTGTTTGTTAACTGTCAAATAGGTATCCCGCAATGAAAACGGCAAGAAATCCAAGAAACATACACCGAAAGTTCTAGACACTGAAATCGATACCAGCAAGCCTTCGTTCTGAACTTAGATCCATTTTGTATATATGGAAAACTTTCTGTGAAAAAATAAGAAACTTTCATTATGGTCATTAATTTCATTGAATAGTATCTTTTTCTTTTGGTAAATATATCAGTATATAAACAACATTTTTACCCAAGAAGAAAGAGACATGAATAAGTACAAATATTTGATAATCTTTACACTTCTAGATCTACATCTATTTAAAGAATAGGAAAACCAAATAATAGATATAATTACAACTGATAATTGATAATGGAGTTACAATATAATCAAAACTGAAAACAAACTAATATAATCAAAATTGAAAAATTCATATAAGATATATAAGATATTTATTTATTATCTTATAGTGTCACACAAGCTAGAGCATGGATATCTTTCATGTTTATCTTGGATAAGTTGTCACGAAACATCCTAGGATGCAAAGGTTTGGTCAACATATCAGCCATTTCATGTAAATAAATAAGGTCTTCTTGAAGTTTAATTCGAACAAAATGATAGTCGATTTTAACATGCTTTTGTCCTTTCATGAAATGTGAGATTCTTAGCTATGCAAATAGCATATTCGTTATCACAATAGAAAACAAAAGATTGAAAAATGTTAGTATGCAAATCTTGACATAAATATTGCAACGACTGGAGTTTACAGACAAGCGAAGCTAGTA